TCGCTCAAAACTTCTGCTTCAGAAAGCTTGCGCTTGCTGCAAGACGCCATTGTTGTGTTTGACTGCTGAGTTGCTGCGATCTGGGGCCGGTTTCACGAAGCGTACTTAAGTATTGAATCGTGATTAAATCACTAATCATGATTAACTTCTCGTACTTAAGTTGAAGTGACTGTTTCACGCAAGCGTAATTAACTTTAATCATGATTAAGTTATCACAATATTTAATTCTACTCAGGAGCATGTTTAAATCCACTAATCATGATTAGTTGCTATGCTAAATAACAACATGGAGGCCGCAATTATTTACCAGCGTATGAATGAGAGAATTATTAGGCAATATAGGCATCGATACGATTTCATAAATACGTTGAATGACGAGGAGCTAAGGCAGAGGTACCGGTTCGGGAGGAGAGGAATATCATTTCTTCATGATATAGTGAAAGAAGATTTACAGAGCCAACCAAACGCTCGTGCGCGATTCCGGCGATAATACAACTTCTGATAGCTCTACGTTTTTACGCGACTGGAGCGTTCATGAATGAAATTGGGGACACTTTCGGTGTTTCGAAAGCGACAGTCTCAAGAATCATAACGGATGTCACGGAATCTCTCAACGAGAAAAGGAACATTTACATCAAGTGGCCCGCTAGTAATAGCGAAATTGCAACACAGAAGGAAGGGTTCCACAAACTGGCTGGATTTCCTGGGGTCGTAGGGGCGATTGACGGGACACACGTCCGAATTCAGCGCCCCGTCAATGACGAACCAGCTTACATAAATCGGAAGCGTTACCCTTCCATTAATGTACAGGCAATTACAGATAGTACAGGTGAGTTGGTTGACCCTAGTACTAGTTTAAGTAGTAACATGTCCCCCTTCATGTCTACAATACAATAATTAATAATTATACTATACAATGGGTCATGTTGACGTACCTTCTTCATTCCGTCACTGGAGTATAATAAATCCAATCACTCCAAAGTGTAATCCAATGGTTATATATACTGTATGTAATCCAAACATTCTTTCATTGAATGAAAAAGTAGCACAAAAGTATTATCCTAGTTTTTGTGTGAATAAAGTATTATTATCCTTTGAATAAAATTGTGATTGAACCTATTCGATTTGAGGGCTGGTGCCATCACCGAAGTAACGCGTTGTACAGGCATGTAGAGACAATGATAGCTGTAGCAGCGCGTGTCGTGACTATCACTGTAGACTACTTATTATTAGATTTCCAGTAACTGGGTCATTCCATTTCAAAATAGGTAAGGGTGCTATGCACATAAAATGTAGCAACCGACTTAATTAAAAGATTACTATATTACTATTTACTATATTAGATGAACCTAAAAGGGACTTAATTTGTATTTCAATTTTCAGGGAAATTTATAAATGTTGTAGCTCGCTGGCCAGGTTCGGTACACGATTCTTTCATATTCAGATCATCTCAAATTGGACAGTAAGTATATATGACAATATAAGAATGATGATGAATGATGAAAGAATTATAGATAATATATATAATATATATTTATATATTAAATTATATATTATATTATGTAGTACATGTATTTTTATTGTGTACCTTTTTATATTGTGAAAAACACTGTAGAATTAATCAAATTAATATAATTTACCAAATCATGTTAACCATTATGTTTTCTCTAAATGTGAAAATACACCACTGTAATAATTATAATTTAATGCAACTTAATTGCTTTTCAGGTACCTGGAGGAAAAACCATAGAGGTATCGAGATTCATGGCATTCTGCTAGGCGATAGCGGTTATGCATGCAGACCCTACCTCATGACGCCTTTCCTAAACCCAGTTGGAGTTAAACAAGAAAGGTATGATTTCAGAACAAAACATTAATAACAAAATTAATCCATAAGTTAATTTTTATCGTCCGTTACACAAATTAGGTACATCCTCAGTGCGTGAAAACGGCACTTAATATTCAGCGGGGTTAAATTTTTTTTTTAGTGTTGCATGTGTGACGGTGGCATAGTTTTCGGATAGTGTGGGAATGTGGCGCGGTGTTGCAGCATGCATTTTTTAACTTTCGGATCAACACGGGGGCCATGGCCCCCCTAACTACGGCAATTTTTTAATGTTAATTTTTTAACGAGGCTAGGATTAGGCCAGCTACGCGCTTTGAAGAGAAAAAGAAATGCATAATGGATTTGCATATATGTGGGGCACATTACAGTTTAATATTACATATTTATTGTGTTATTTTTTAGATACAATATTGCGCATAAACGCACCAGATGCGCTGTTGAACGTGCGTTCGGAATTTTAAAAAGAAGATTTCACCTCCTTCATGGTGAAGTGCGACTCGAACCGTCAAAGGCGTGCAAGATGTTTGTTGCTTGTGCAATTTTGCACAATATTGCGATTTCGCTAGATGAACCGTTAGCCGCCGAAGCCAATGATTGCGTTGATAACGTTGATGGTGATGACGTCTATGATGGCCCCGATAATGGCAACACATTCAGGGAGCATATCGTGCAGACATATTTCTGAGATAAATGTCACGAAATTCACACTAAAAAGAAAATACATTATTTATAAACAACACATAATCGGGGCCATCATAGACGTCATCACCATCAACGTTATCAACGCAATCATTGGCTTCGGCGGCTAACGGTTCATCTAGCGAAATCGCAATATTGTGCAAAATTGCAAATTTGCCGTTTAGAGATTCCGTTACATCTGTGATTTCTCGATACGGTCGCTTTTGAAACTTCGAAAGTATCCCCAATTTCGTTCGAGACGTAGAGCTATCAGAAGTTGTATCATCGACGTAATCGCGCATGAACTGTTTCGTCGGTCTCTGTAAATCGTCTTTCACTATATCATGAAGAAAAGATATTCCTCTCCTCCCGAACCGGTACCTCTGCCTTAGCTCCTCGTCATTCAACGTATTTATGAAATCGTATCGATGCCTATATTGCCTAATAATTCTCTCATTCATACGCTCGTAAATAATTGCGTATCGATGCCTATAAGATAACAGATTGTATTCTTTTATATTATTATATATTTATATGTTTGTATTTTGTACTTTTCATGGCTCCTTTAGAATAATATTATAATTTATTATTATTGTGAATACCCCGCGATATTTATAATTATTATATATTATGTGATATATTTATAATTTATTATATATTATTGTGATATATTTATATTATATATTTGAGCAATAAAATTTATTTGAATTTGAATCTAATGAGTGAGTTGTGTCCGCGTACATATTACTTGTTGTTATTTGTTTTAATTTCAGTACCAGTTTCATTTGGTATTTAATTATATGGAGTTATTATAATATAATTATATTACATGCAATTGAGGCACTTTTAGTTGTTCAATTTCTTTAGATGAAACGTTAGCCGCCGAAGCCCATGATTGCGATGATAACGCCGATGGTGATGACATATATGATGGCCCAGATAATGAACTAAAAATAATAAACTATCAGACTAAAAAGAAAACACATTATTTATAAACAACACATAATTTAATTAACTTATTCAATAATAATAACATTATTTAAACACATAAATATTATAATTATACTGTAGGCTATAAATTTAATACTGTCAACTTATTATTATTATATATTAATTTTATTATATAAACGCAAATGCTTATTCATCCCGAAACTCATCAAATTGCGAAGAAACGCAAGGCGAATTTCACAGCAAGTGAGAAATCCTATCTGGCCGACCTCGTCAAGGATAATTACAATATACTATTCGGACAATTTACAAGCAACTTAACTGCAAAAATGAAGCACGAGAAATGGGAGGAGATGCCATAGGTGCGGGAAGCAGAACAGTAGCGAAGTTATTCAAGAATCTCAATGGTACATCCAGAGGATTTTTGAATTGCTATTAACTCTAAGTGAAGCTTTGCATTCATTAATACAAGGTTTGCATTCTTCAATTTAAGCCCATCTATTGTAAGGTCCAGCCGTTGACATTCTAATTTTATTCTCTTTTTATCTTCAATTAAGTTGTTGTACTGAGCTCGTGTGACATCCCCGGTCGAAATCCTTCTTTTCTCGCACGATGACGAGGACGAGGACGACTCTGCTTTTATCGGCATGTCAGCGGATGTGCTGGGGTCATGGCTCGTGAAGGAGTCTTCTTCCTTCGGTTCGGCCTCGAGGCCAAAAATTGCATCTGAAAATATAGAAAAGTAAAGTGTTAAAATCAACAGAAAATTTTAATTAAATCTAAACACACGCACACGCACACGCACACACACACGCACGCGCACATGCTCCCTCAATATAACGCAACGGCATGCTGCCTGCATAGAATAGACAGGAGTAGACGGGGAGCAGAGGAATGTGTGCCAGAGTTCTGGATCATAAAATTTTATATAACTACATGTGGCCTGACCACATCTGACCCTGGTCTCCGCTTATAGGGGCCATAGATTACACGTATATACATGATATATGTACCGGCCAAAAGACGGTATAAATTATTGAAATATTTTGGTTACGGAAAATTTATGGCCTGAAAAAAGTGCCGCGGCAGTTCCGACGCCCTTGCACACACACACACACACACACACACACACACCACACACACACACCACACACACACACACACACACCACGACACGCACGCACGCCACGCACGCACGCACGCAACGCACGCACGCACGCGACGCACGCACACACACACACACACAGTGCCAGTTTCATTTGTATTTAATTATAAGTATTCATCGCAATTGAAGGCACGTTTAGTTGTTCAATTCAGTTCTAATAGCTGCTCCTGTCTGTCTCTGTGATGTAACGTTTTTGTTGGGCATAATCATTTAATATGGAGTTAATTCAAATAGTTTTCTGTGTGCTATGGCCAAACGTTTGTCTGTTTTTTTTCATAGACATTCTATTATACACGTGTATTATTTTACACGTATTACAACACGTATAACACTATTGTACACACATTTTTAGGATATCTATGGTTGATATAATGTTGACCGATAGCTGGCGTTGTCCGGTTGAGTGACGAGCAGCTTGCTCGCCGCGTGTTTGTAGTTCAGCCCTTTTGACTTTCGTGCTTCGACGTGAGCGGTTGTATACGCAACGTGTGATATTTAATTTAACATGTGTTGAGCCGATCAGGCACGATTTGGCCTATTAAATCTCGATCTGTGCACAAGGGTGAACGAGGAACGGAGATTGTGATTTGTGAACGAATATTGTGAAAGAGCTGTAGGAAAAACTAGCTACGAATAAATGAAAAAATGATCGACACCCTACGTACGCTACACAGCATTGTGACTTCTTCAGACATGTGTCTATCAGCGTGCACCTACTGCCAGTACTGGCTACTAGCTGTCGGACTGACCGCTATATTCTTAACAACTATTGATTAGTTTATCTATACTTGATAAACTTGATTGATTATACGGTGAGCTTTCTCTTACAATTTCCTATTCTAATTTCTAAAGTAGCTCTAGTACTATATTATAGCCCGGCGCTCCGCGCGCCTCAGGAAAGCGAAGGGAAATAGGCACAGGCCCCTAGTAACGCGGTGACGCGAAGGGCTATTTATAGTAGGCATACTTGAGCTAATTCTAAATGTAAAGGTGACCTTGACGTGTGTTCCCCACATTGACACCCATACAATAGCGTAATGAATAAAAACATAAACAATCATAGAAATAAACACTCGTGTGGGAAATCAAAACTTGTCCTGTAGCATATAAGTGTTAAATACCAATAAATAGACGTATAAAATAAACGTACTTGTATCGTAGACAGGGCCGGTTTCTACTCCTCCGGGTATGCCGCTGAATGACGGCTTGTCATTCATGAAGCTGATGATAACATTAGTGGTTTCGTCCAAGGGAGTCGGTGCTGGCCCGCCTCCTGTCTTTACTGACTCTCTTTTTTCAAATCCATTCGCTTTCTTAGCTTTCATTTGTAGATTGTTCCAAAGAGTTTTCAACTCCGCCACAGTTCTGCTACCCACACCTATGGCGTTGATCTTTCCGGCGATCTCCTCCCATTTCTCGTGCTTCATTTTTGCAGTTAAGCTGCTTGAAAATTGTCCGAATAGAATGTTATAATTGTCCTTAACGAGGTCTGCCAGATAGGATTTTTCACTTGCTGTGAAATTCGCCTTCCGTTTCTTCGCAATTTGATGATTTTCGGGATAAATAAGCATTTGCGTTGCATCAACGTCCGTCATTTTGGATATGATTAAATCGGCTAATTACGTACTTAAGTCGGCTAATTATGTGATTAGTTAAATATGTACTTAAGTCGCTTCGTGAAACAGATTTTCAAGTATGATTAACTAATCATAATTACGGGAAGATAATTATGATTAGTGATTTAATCATACTTAAGTTAAGTACGCTTCGTGAAACCGGCCCCAGGAATTTATTGCCATATCTCTCATCAAGAACAGTCCTAACGCTTGTGTAAGCTTCTTCTGTGTCAAAATAAAACGTTCCTTCTACGGTTTATTTAGCCTCTACACTGAGGTATCTTTTCAGGTAGTGGATGCGTTCCGAAGGTGGTATGTTCTTGGAGTCTATGAGAGCAGCAAACGCAGCCTTCCACGCCGGATACTGTAAGACTTCTCCAGAAAAGACTGGTGGCTCAGGAGCGGGTAATCTGTTTCGATTTACAGAGTCTGTCAATGTCTGAACAAGACCTGTGAGATCACGTTCACTTTGACGAGTTTCGGCAGGTCTTTGGTTTATTGTGCGATTCTCTAAAGAGTTTCTGTTGATATCACGCACCCTGTCCGCCTGAGTGTACATGTACTTATTTATCAGGTCTCCATTGTCCGACCGACTGGGTTCACCTTCTAAAGCATTCATCTCTGCTTCAGTTTTTATGATCTCTGTCATAATTTGTTGATCTTCCAACTCCTGACGACGTCTCGTGAGTTCCGCCTCATTTCTTATCTTTTCGTCCGCCTTGAACTGAGCACGACGGGCAGCTTCTTCAGCTTTAAGCTTGCATATTTCTTGTTTTTTTGGCGAATTCTAGTTGTTTGGCTTCTCGCTCAGCATGAAGGCTAGCTGCGCGAGCAACCAGCTGAGTCTTCTTAGATGAGGTGGTAGAGGAGACAGCTGAAATATCTGTTCTAGCCGGCTCGAACCCAAAACAAAGTCTGTTTAATTCTTCTTTCAGGCGATCAGTTTCTTGGCGTACCATGAAAGGTATAATTTCTTGATATTCTCCTCGCACATTTTCATAAGCAATGTCAAGTTTGGACTTACTATCCTCAAGAGCGAAGGAGTTTATTCGAAGTTGTTTCATCACAGATTTGGGGATTTACTCGCTCCACTGTTCTCATTGCACATTTGCAGTCTTCAACCACGCTCCAAAATTTATCAGTTGCCTGTCTTTCCATGTTATCTCTCACCTTCCAAGTAGGTTTAGATAGTCGCTGTGATCTTCTTAGATCGAATTGGTCACTTTTGGAATTCATTGCCAAACTCAAATCCGACTTACCAATGTTCTCATCACAACTGGGAGAGCGGAATTTGTACATATTTGTATCTCACCGTCATTCACTTTGATTGGATACTCACTGTAATACGTGTAAAATAATACACGTGTATAATAGAATGTCTATGAAAAAAAACAGACAAACGTTTGGCCATAGCACACAGAAAACTATTTGAATTAACTCCATATTAAATGATTATGCCCAACAAAAACGTTACATCACAGAGACAGACAGGAGCAGCTATTAGAACTGAATTGAACAACTAAACGTGCCTTCAATTGCATGAATACTTATAATTAAATACCAAATGAAACTGGCACTGTGTGTGTGTGTGTGTGTGTGCGTGCGTGCGTGCGTGCGTGCGTGCGTGCGTGCGTGCGTGCGTGCGTGGGTGTCTGTGCGTGCGTGCAAGGGCGTCGGAACTGCCGCGGCACTTTTTT